GAATACAAGGTTTTAAACACAGGATAAGACAGGGTCACGATGACCGCCTTATGATCCGATAAACCTTCGGTAGTTTCACATATAAATCCAGCTTCCGCAATGTTAGAGCTTACAAACACTAGGTCGAGAAGTGCGTCCAGTCGAGTTGCATCACTAACCAACTGCACCAAGTCATGCGACAACGAAAAATTGATTAGCTCTCGGCCGAGGCCAGGTTCTCGACCGAAAGGTGTCAGAGAAGGCCAATGAATTCCGGGTGCATTGAAATCACCCATACAGATAATATTAGATGAACCAATATTGTGGTTATAAATATAACTATTGAGATTGCGTATATGATCGACGGAGGTGCCAGGTGGGCGGTAGCAGACACCAACCATGAGATTATCCTTGTTTAAGTAAAGCTTGCACCACACCGATTCAACATCTAGAGGAACAGGCAAAACAGAGAACGTCAAGTCCGACCGAAAGAGTAAAACAACTCCCCCGCCTTTGCCGCTCCGTCGATCACAACGAACTAGGGCGTACCCGGGTGGAGTTATCTCAAAGTCGTAAACGCCTTCATGTAGCCAAGATTCAGTTACACCTACTATGTGCGGGGAAAACGTGGATACCAGAGAGACAAAGCTAGAAAATTTATTCAGTAGACTTCTTGCATTGACATTCAAAATTATTAGGTCATTACATGGATATTGGGGTAGTCAGGGAGGAGATGAAGATTCAGCGTTGGGAGCAGGGTGACGTGAAGACCTACGAGAGGGTACTTTAACAAGCGTGTTAAAGTTGCATCTAAGGTATACTGAATGTCATCAATAAAAAGTTTATTGAAGCGCGCGCTGTCACGAAATGAAGCAGCCCTTCATTCCATCACAGGATGCAGCCCTTCTACAGCTTAGAAAGGTTTCCCATTTTCTTTCAACATCATCTGTCGGTTCACCCCGCTGCTTAGCATGTCTGTGTTCCCGAGAGGCTTCCTGACATTTTGCTATGGTTCTCTTAACTTCCTCATCCCACCAACTTTTGGGTTTGTGTCTTCTTTTCCGGGGTGACTTGTTACGCATCTTAGCAAGCTCTAGCTCAAAGAGTCTAATTAGATTCGTGTATGTTCACACTGTCTTATTATCCTCCGCGATTACTTTCTCAATTTGTTTAGAGGCTATTTCAATTTGCCTTTCTGAATAAAAACTTTCCTGTAGTTGCTCATCTTGTCTCCTTCCCACTTTCACTGCTCTTCCAAAACTTAGCTTGATATGTTTGTGATCACTACCCAGACTTCTGGAGCCACCTTCATCTATGTGCATTCCCCTGAGCTTATCATACATCCTATGTGACATCAGTGCATAATATATCGTCGACTGCAGCCTTCCTACCTCCCATGTTATTTGCCCTTCACACTTCTCGGTACTGTTGCAAATGATCAAATCAAGCCTTTCACACATATCCATGATCATTTTGCCTGTCGGGTTGGTATACCCATCTATATCTTCTATGTGCGCATTCATGTCTCCTAGTATAATTATCTCGCACTCTCTTCCTAACTCCTGAATGTCCTTTGATATACACTCTACCATTGCCTGGTTTTCCTCTCTGGCCTTTGCTCCCGTCCACAAGTATACGAAACCAAGGAGTGTCATTTGACCTGCCACTTTCCCTTTTAGCCATAAATGTTCCTTGCACTCCTGCTTGACCCTTTGCCAGTCTGTACTTTTATGAATGAATGCCCCAATACCACCCCCCTTTCTGCTGCCTTCTGTTCTATTACAATATTCCGACGCGTAGTCCGGATTGTTCGGAGGTTGTTCCATGTCCCCGAGATGTGTTTCTACAAAACCGTATACCATCGGCCTCTCTTCCCTTAGCTGTTCTTCTATCTCTTCCCACTTCAGCCTGTTCCTACCACCCTGCATGTTAATATACCCTATGTCTGCATGGGCTCGGCGCTCGTGGCTACGTCTATGTATGCCCCGCACTCTACCTATCTTAGACATTGGTGCCATTTTGGAATCGTATCTGTCCATAACACCTGTCGAAGAGTCTCCCTGGTTGTTTTCCTCGTTACTAGCTATCCTGCAAACACCCGCACACCCGCAAACACCCGCACTTCCTCCTAGCGGAGAAGCAGATAAACACTTCGCGATTTCCGGCGACGAGCCGCCGCAGCGGCCTTGGAAGCAGTTCTCTGCCGCCAGCGAGTCAATCCACGAGTGCTGCTTCTTTTGCGTGTTTTTAAAAGAAAAGCTGTGCGATGCCCAGCTGTATACTCGGCGCGAATCGCGTGCACCGCCGGATGTACCTGGTGCCACTTTTCACGCATGTTGGCAAGGTTCCTTCTGGCGTTGCATAAGTGGTTGCCAGACTTGAAGAGTGGTTGTTGCCAGACTGCCGCTAAATGTAGTTGACAAATTTTCTCTTGTAGTTGTGGCTTCTCCGTAAGAGTTTGGTGCTATCCGCGGTGCATTTCGCGAGTGCATGAGCGACACTGGTCGTTTTAATTAACGGCATGAACCGCCCATTACAGAAGTCGAGGCGCGTTCTCTTGCTGTGTGCGCAGCTGTGCGATTAAGACATCGCGTCTCAGTATTGGGGATTACGGGGAAAACTGAATAGAGTCGCAGGAGGTGATGCGCTGCCCCCCTCCCCCTTATTTTTGTTTTTTTTCCTCTCTCAGCTGATCCTGTCGCGTCGACCGCGCGCTACGACGGGATACGCTACAACTACAGAAGAAAACGTTTCCGCCAAATTTAGCGGCAGTCTGGCAACAACCACACCAAAGTCTGGCAACAAATTTATGCAACGCCAAAAGGAATCTTGCCCGCATGTTTGCTTCACTGTTGATGGAATTTGCATGCGGAGCTCTCAGCTGTACGCACCGTTAATTCTTATTCATTGTGTCAACTGAGAACACACGCGAACTTTCGTTTTTACTGTTGTAAGCATCGTGTCGCGTTTGTAGAAGTTGTGTCGTTCCTACGGAAGGGCAATAAACTTTTCTTGTTACCGGACTAAGTGTGTATGCAGCGTACGGTGTGCGCTCGCTGCGTGTTAGTTGTGTGCGCACTGGATCCTACACACTTAACGTGCACGATCACGTATACAATGCAGCTGTGCCTTCTTACCGACGTGAAGTACGTCAAGTACTAGGCTGGCGTTGCACGGAATAGCTACGAAGCAAGCTCTCAAAATCGTGCATTGCCACACTGACACCTTTCACTTTCACTTTTATTCCTTAAAGACCCCACCAGGGGGTATTACATAAGGGGTGGGTTACAATATATACAACAGGTTGAACACTTTATTATATGGTATAATGTGATGTGATCGCTTCAATGAAGGCAGTAGGGCTTGAGTTAGCGATTTCTTGCGTAAGGTCGTTCCAGTCCTTGGCTGCTCGAGAGAAAAAAAAAAGATGCAACGGTGACTGTGCGAGCTTGAGGACGGGCAACGTTTAAGGGGTGACCAATACGATAGGATATGCGTGATGGTGGCAAAATATATGGTGCTTGGTTTAGCGCGCTGTGGTAGAATTTATGAAATAATGATAAACTAGCAATGTGGCGTCGATTAGAAAGTGTTTGTAAACCGGATTCCGATTTCAAGGATGTTACGCTGATATCGTATGAAAAGGCGGAATGAATGAAACGAATGGCACGATTCTGAAAAGCCTCAAGGGCGTTCCCCAGTTAAAAAAAACAATTGGAACCAATTGGAAATATCAATGGGTCCAAATGGAAATAGTCATTTCCAATTGGACCAATTCGTATAACCAGCAGGACCAATTGGAATCTTCAAATGGTTCATCTACTTCCAATTGGGCCAAATGGAATCTCCAATTGGGCCATTTGGAACAATTGGAATTGCCAATTGGTCCACTAGGATCAAATGGTATAACCAAGAAGACCAATTGGAATTTTCAAATGGTTTGCCTACTTCCAATTGGGTCATTTGGATTGCCAATTGGATATGCTCACTCCCAATTGGGCCAAATGGGATTTGCAACAGGGCCAACTGAAAAAAAATGAATTGCCAAATGGTTCAATTGGATTTGTTCACTTGCATTTGGGTCAAATGAAATTTCCATTTCTAACTCAGCCATGTGAAACAATTTAATTGAAAATGGTTCAAGTGGGTTTACTCATTTCCAAGTGGACCAAATGGGCTTTTTTTCAACTAGGCCATTTGAATAATGTGCAAATGCCAAATGGTTCAATCAAAAATGGTTGCTTTTAGTTGGGCCATAAGCTTCCCTTGGAAATTCGCATGCACAGTTTGGTCAGAAACTTGGAGTCGCTTTGAACTGTTCCGTTCATTTACTTGCAAAATGTTAAAAAATTCCAAGGGTCTATTATACCACTGCTAAGATGACCTGAAAGTGCTAATTATTAATGTTGTTTTAAGGACATATGTCAGAATCCATCGAACCGTTCGGCTTTTATCTCATTTTGTGCTTGTCAAGTCTCTTTTAGCATATATTGTACAACTTTTTGGCCCACCACACAATCTACTAGGTTTTTAGTCAGTCCGTTGAGCGCCCCTTCGGCATTTTAGTTCTTCGTGGGCACTAGCAGGCCAAATGACACTAATGGCATTTTTTCAAAGTTTTGAAAGCCACGTAAGTTCCGCAAAGACAAACTAAGTTACACAGCTCATGTGCATGGAGCTACTCTTGCGAAAAACAGCATTATATCCTTTTGTCATGCATGCACTACAGGGAACTTTATTCACAGCTTTGCGTGCCTCGGGATAGTGAGAGCAGTGCAAAAATGTTTTTGCTTGAATGTGATTACAGCTAGTTTTATTCAAGGACACTACAATAGATTAGACCTTTTTTCTGAAAAAATGTTTCTTGGTACAATTATTGCAAACATAAGGCAGTTACATCAATCTAAATGGTACAGCTGAAAATAGAGCAGTGCAAATTTTTGGCATATAACACCGAATTAATATTCAAAGGCCATAAGCAGTGGAGGCAGTTTCAGGCATGTATATAACAAAAGCACACAATCAGGTCACACAAACGTTTATTAGTACAAAAAGTACAACAAAAGTAAGCAGCAGACACTCCCTTTGTATCTATCTTGGTGCATTTTTTTCACAACACTTGCAATACAACATCAAGGTTCCAGAGCAATGAAACTCAATCACCAATACTAGTAAGGTGTTGTCGGCAAAATCATTTTTCACTGAACTTCAAGCAGTAGCAATTGTATGCCAGAACAACAAGAGAATTAAAACAGTCCTCCCTATAAAAATACGAATGAACATAACACAAAAATTTTCATTCAATTACTGCAGTTTAAACCTGAGCCCCCATGCTTTTAAACAAATGCCTTAAAGGGGTACTGACACAAAAACATTGGCCTCGCATTTTTCAGCTGCAATGTGTTGCTGGGGGCCTGTTAGTCATGACACGACACATAATTTGCTGCAGCACGGGACAGATAATTACAGGCCCCTGACAATTGACCACTTTCAGTATCAGTTTGAAAGAGCTCCAAAAAACGAGAAGCCACCAGGGGCAACTATCGCTACCTAGAGTATGCAGCTCTTGATCAAGTCAGCACAAAGAACTGTGACACACTTCTGTACAGTCCACATCAAGAATTACTTTCGAATAGTAAACCTGACTGCAATGTCGCCAAACACAAAACTTTCAAAGCGTGTGCCACAGCGAAGCACTCCCAAGCAGCCGCCAAGAAGTATAGACTCCGATAACAAACGCAACAAAAAAGGCAGCTATGATGTCATCATAACTTGTTTTATTGACTGCAGCATGGTGACTGAAGGGAAGTAGGGGGTCTTCAAAGGTTTCCCTTCGAGGGTGTCAGTGGCAAGATGCAAACTTCCAAAATCGATTTAAAATACCTTCCAACCTATATTTGCAGTTGATATTTTGCAGATGATATACAAATGCTCACGGGAATCGACCTTGCAGGCTGTCTCAGCCACAAAATTTTGTCAGGACCCCTTTAACCAGTGGGCTACAAACCCATTTTTCTTTCCTTGATTATGGTATTTAATAAAATGCATATTAAAAAAAATAGCACATACAATATGATAGTTGCAATGTTGCAATAACATAGCGACAATGAGCAGTGCTGAAATCATAATTTTACCGAACTTCAAGCACTAGCAATTATATGCAAGGACAAGAAGAAAAGAGTATATGTCACTTTGTGACTTAGGACAATCATAAAAATACAAATGAAAAAAACAACAACAAATTTTCACTCTATTAGTGCGATTTAAACCCGAGTCCCTATGCTCCCTAAGCAAATGTCTTAACTTCCTTGATTATGGCATTTCATAAAATGCACATTGAAAAAAGAATATACAACATATAATACAACAGTTACAATGACGCAATCACATAGTGACAATTAGCATACAAGCCCTTCTAAAGAAAAACTCGAATGCTCATATAATGTGCCACATACCAGTTAGGAGAGCTCTCGAGTTGTACAGAAAAAGTGGTAAGGATAAGCACTTCACCAAGATGGGATACCAGTTTTATCTAGTGTCAATTTAATCATAAATATCCTTAGCACATCTGAACCATATGAGCATGCCGAGTCCCCTCAGTGCAAAACAAATAGACCATTTTCAAGCAATCCCAGAGCCCTCGCAGGCATGGGAAGCACTATGGGAAAAGTGTGTACGTTGAATCGGTCAAACGCGCCAGCTGTTTTCGATCACCCGCTGCTCGTTGGTGCCGTGGGAGCACCGAACAAAAAAGAAAAATTAAGAGGCATCCCCAAATGTTGACTATTACATCCAAAATACTATACATGTCTGAACGCACCTGCATGTATATCTACACATTAAATGCTAAAGGAATGATACAGTCGGCACGCGAATGAATGATCACATGCCGATACATAAGTCAAAACGTGCTATCGTGAGCAGTGGGAGCTGGAACACCAAATCCATAATTATAAATGATTACTTGTTCAACGATTAACAATTAATTGTCCATGATCGGGTTTAACAAAACAGCAGAAAGGTTTTACAGTGTTTAGGTACAGTGATTATTTTATTTTAATTCACAAGTGCTCACTTCTTTGCACTGTGCAAAGAAGTGAGCACATTCTAAATGCGTTTAAAAAGGAACGGAACTAGAATTTATTTGTGAGGTTCCTTGCTATGATAATTTGCTGTTTCTTGGTACCTGATTTTAGGTTGCACGACTGGTTCATCGAAACCAGTGTCTTAATTTCATGTCAGAGCATTCGAATATTGCTAAACGAGGTATTGTAACGTCATGCTACACACGGCATCAAAAAAAAAAACTTGCTCACATAAAATGAGCAGTAGTTTCCAGCTACAAATCGATTGCCTCAAAGAGGCAGGGGATCCTGTGCATTGTTGCATCTGTCTGCAAAAATTGGTTGGCAAGGCTAAGAAAGATAAATATGGATGTACTTTGCCCGTGAATAATGAAGAAGCTACAAATATTTGAATTAATTGATATATGTAAGAGAATTTGTATCCCCTTTTTTGTCCTGCTTTTTATTTGCTCTAGTACAATCCCAACTTGTAGTTATAGTGCCAATGAAGGTTAGTAGACACGTATCGTTCGTTACACATATGGTGGAAGCCCCGCCGCGGTGGTCTAGTGGCTAAGGTACTCTGCTGCTGACCCGCAGGTCGCGGGTTCGATTCCCGGCTGCGGCGGCTGCATTTCCGATGGAGGCGGAAATGTTGTAGGCCCGTGTGCTCAGATTTGGGTGCACGTTAAAGAACCCCAGGTGGTCGACATTTCCAAAGCCCTCCACTACGGCGTCTCTCATAATCATATCGTGGTTTTGGGACGTTAAACCCCACAAATCAAATCATCACATATGGTGCAAGCAACACACACGGCCGTTCAGTGATTGTATCTTATTTTATTAAATGCGGACTATACTTTCTATAGAACTCTTCAAAATCAGAACCTCACATTCTACTCGTAGACAGTGTCAGTGGACATTGGTTCCAAATGTAGGACTGCTCGAGCGTTTCATAGGCAACAGAGTGTATCTATTTTATTTCATTTTTTGCCATAAAGGAAAACAAAAGGGGGATGACACTTCTGAGCCACTTAAAAAATCCTATAGTGAGACTGATGGAAATAGTCGAGAAGCCCTCGCAGCTGAACACTGAAGTTCGCAATTGAATTACGCAGTAATATGTTGCACCTAGCCAAATTCAAGGTCTCTAAGAAGTCCTGGAATGACGCAAGCGGTAAAGCGTGAGGCCCGCATACTTCTTGCCGTTGGCTGCTCTGGCATACCAACTTTACCCGTGAGTGCTTCCGCACTTGTTAGTGGCGATGGTGTGCTTGAAAATGGTCTATTAGAATTGCACACCAGATTTGAAAATTTACATTGTGAACGAGCTAGGCACGGGTGAAATGAATATGTTCGGGCCTACTTGCATGTGTGCACAAACACTGAAAATTTCTGATGCTGATACAAGAGTTGTTGTTGCTGCTTCTCTTTGAACCTTCACCAAATGTTCCATCACTAAGGTGCTATATTTTACTGCTGAGCAGTGGAGGCGCCTGGCTGCAATGTACACTTCGCCTTGTTTCATAAGAATTGTTTCTATAACCGCATATGATTGGTCAGCAAGGCGTACGACAGAACTGTTAGTCTTTTTTTTTGACGAGTAGTTATGGCTCGTGTATACTGTCCCTTTCATAAGCATACGGGTGTACTGCACAAGATCTGTAGAAGCATCACTTCTGTATGGGACACCCCTACCAAAAAGGCGAATGTCTTCAGCAACAACTGTCTTCTGTGTGGCTCTTTTGTCGAGCGACATACAGTAGTCAAGCACTCTCCTGTCTGTTGTTATGCTTGATAGCTTGTCGATCAAGTCCTCAACTTGATGTGCTCTACAAATTTGGTGTGGTACGCCATTTGCAGCTTTTACCATGGACTTTAATGCGCCATTGCCAGCTTCAAACGGGAATGCCGAATGCGCCCACAGTGGGCCCCAGTGCTTGACACTTTTTGCAATGTGCACAAGTTGATGTAGGTTAAATGTCATGCATTTTTTCCCATATATGGCTTCTGCCATGACGTGAAACTCCAAAAGGAGTTCTTCTGCTCGCTGAAAGTGTGACAAACTTATGTTACGTGACAGCAGAATGTGAAGCACCTCAACAAGGCAAGCCCAGTGACTGATGCAAGATTTATTCAAAATTCCTTGCAGCACTGGCAGGCTGTAGAAGAGCACCCAATTCTCAAACTCCTTGGCCTTCCACCACTTTCTTTCTTTTGTTGCTCTTGGCAACCGGCGCACTTCTCTAGGAGGAGCCAGTGCTGTCAGCCTTTCATCAATCGTTCTTTGATGCTTCCCAATATAGAAATCACACTGTGCATCAGCCATCCACATCTCTAAAAACTGCCTCGCCACTCCCAACAAAATACTATGCATATAATCGGGGACAAAACCCCAGACTATATCAAAATGTGGCAAGTTTAGAAGTGGAGAAACTGTCTTCACTCCTCTTTCAGAATGATCCTGTTGCAATGCAGTTTCTGCATCTTCCATAATTTCTTGTTCAGAACGCTCTGGTGGCTCATTCTTCTCTACTGGGTACCTGGTAGTGCCTGCAATGCGTTCCCCCTTTTGCAGACACCAGTTACACCCATAGTATGCATTAAATTGCATGACCCCTTGCATGGGGGCTCTTGCCACTGAATCAACTGCACAGCAAATGCAATAAGCCTTGAACAGCTTCGGCTGTCCTTCATGATCAAGAACAAAGCCATTCTGTGCCAAACCTTCCATTTTCTCTACAAACACATCAAGAAAAATGCTCATATCTGGCTTTTTCTTTCCAAACCAAAGAGCAGCCAACACAAGTTTGTCCCCTCTTTGCATAATGGGCACCTCATTCACCAGTAGCTGTATAGGCCAAATTGAAGTGTTGCTGGATGAAAATAGTGGTGTGCCATCTGCATTTAATGTAAAGCTAATCCTGTGCCCTTCGTCTACTGTAGCAGAAACAAATTTGCGATATAATTCTCCATCACAAATATCAGAAAGGTTACTGCTTTGACTTAAGGGCTTTGTCAGGTCAAGAAAGCTGCAATTCTTTAAAACCTTTCGAAGTTGAGAGGGGACATCCAATAGGACAAAAAATGATTCGCTGTTTACTGAGGAAGCTAGAGCCCAGCCACATTTTTGACAATGACTCGACTGAGCATAGGATTGTGCGACCTCGTGCACTGTCGAACATTTACCACAAATGAAATGAAAACTCATCTCGGTGCCATGCTCTGAAAAAAGCTTGCCAAGCTGGTATCGTGAATGTGGCAGAACAGGTCGTTCAAAAAACATGTTGACCATTTCAATCAAACTCACCATTGCTGTAAAAGACAAATTACTTTTTATGGCATGTTTAAATATCATCAAAAGCATCTCGCCTTTTGAAACGACAATCTTTTCATTCAGGACCTCCTGAAACAAATCTCCAAGTTGTGTCCTGTTTGTGTCGGCATCGGTTGACAAGTTTCCATTGAAAGGTCCCTCACTGTCTATGCCATCAGCCACATCACACACTTCACTGTTACATTCAGATAGAAACACGCCCCGAGTCACGCTGTCCACAGTATCATGTTGAGTGCCCTGCAGAAAAAATTCATTGTAAGGTTTACATGAATACAATTATTATGTGGAAGCATACCATTGTTGTAGGGTCAGTTGTGTCATCACAACTGCCAAAATCTGTGTTGTCATCATCACTGATGAAATGATTTGCACCACATGGATCATACACAGTGGCGGCACAGTCTCCACTGTAATCACCTCCATCATCTATATCTTGCAGATCTCTCTGTCGTTCACTTCGATCACCCGGAATGGCTGGCTGCGGAGATGTCTAGACAAAAAAAAAAATGCATTTAGATAAATCATAAAAATAAATAGCAAAGAATATACTAAAAACATATTTGTCTCTTGCAAATTTTTACACGACTAAAGGATATATACTGTAACTCTCTGTAAAACAAATGTTGCGCCCCCCCCCCCCGCGCGTGCTTCTTTTTCTTTTATGAAAACCAGCTCCAAGAAAAGGACCCAAGATTTCAATCGTAACGTTGTGGTAAATGAGGCTCAACAGTTTCTCTAATTAAATTTAACTGTGCCTCTTAATTAAATTGAGCACGCATTCTCGAAATCATTAAGCCAATGCTTTAGGAAATTATGTTTGTAGGTGCACTTTCCAGCACGCGTGCACGCACCAACACAAACGTACGTACTTGTTACATTCAACGCACTGCGTACAATATTTGAGACGAAGGCATCCATCTACGTACCAGCGTTCTAGAACATAGGCTGCTCGCTCCATCGGAATCGCTGCCCATCGTCGTCATTATTCGCATGCTGCACAGCACTGTCCGCCGCCAACACCGCAGCGGCCATCGATGTCGCATTTTGCGGTACCGTGTACTCCGCTTGACCGACGGGCGGCCGCGAATCCAGCGGACCTTCATCCGAACTTTTATTGTGTGAGCCATCCTTTATGGATTCCTGCGCGGCAAGATTATTGAGATTTAACAAGGACATTTTTTGCCGATAATCTGATAGAGTCGAGACAATTAAAGAAGTTTACTTACAGTTTTAGCGAGCCGCAGCCTAGCTGATGAGTCTGTTGATCTGGGCACACTGCATACACTGCTTGGATTCAGATACTTTTTATACCTTCCGCGCTTTTTCCGTTTCTTCTGCGGTTCCATCTTGCTAATATGTGGCGGTGACCGCTATGCGCTCGTCTATGTGTAAAACTTGAATGCGCTCTGACCACCACTTGCTCTACACGCTAGATTGACCGACCCACAGAACACTTGCCAGAACACCGACCCACGCCACAGAACGACCACGCTACCACAGTCCTGCGGCCGCAAACATACCAAACATACGTTTGTTTACAATAGCTCACCGCAAGTGGTCAGTGAACGCAACCTAAAAAAGAAAACGTTTTTTTCTTGGCATTTATCACGTCACAAAAGCCGAAAAAAATTGTTTTCGACGTCTGCCGCGCTCACGGAGGCCTCCATGGCCGCGCTGCTGCGTGCAACGAGCCAACAAGCTCAACAATGGCCTCAAAATTGGCGTAACTTTTTTATTTATGGGGGATTTGAATGCCAAATAATAAGTTTATCAAACTATTTTTCAACAGCAATAACATTTTATTTTAGCATCAGTGTCAGTGTCTAACTTATTTTGCTTTTTTAGTTCTAGCTGGGCGCCATCCTTGTCACTTCAGGACGGCCTAACTAGCATCAACATCAATGAGCTTGCAGCAGCTTTTCGGAAAAAAACGTGGTAATGGTGGCATCGTACTGCTAGAGAACGTGTGTAGTGTGTTCTGTGTGTTGTGCGTGATTGTCTGCGGTGTTGGAATCGGAACGTTGCAGCGATGATTACTCACGCTTACGTTCGATACCAGGACGACAAACATTTGGCAATCGTGCCAGTGGAAGACATAAAAAATTTCAATCCGAATGAGGATTATTCGACAGCCTTCTTTATGGTCAAATGGACCGATTCCACCGGCACATGTGCCTACTACCGCGCAAGAATTTTGCGGGTTGGAGGTAAGTTTGTGCATTTTTAAGGCTGCATTGAATTAGTTCGATTGTTTCGTGCTCCACGCAGCAACGATGTGACGTGCGATAAATCGATCGTGTATACGTCAGTGCAGGGCGATTTTCATCGAAGTTCGTGCAATTCGGCAAAATTAAAATTACGTGCCCCGTTTAATGTAGGGGGCTAGAACAGGCAGATGCATGAAAAAACGTAAGTGAGCTAGGCGCTCTAGGTTTCTTTGAACGCACAAATTGTAGAACTTCCTAATTATATTTGCGTACACTCACGTGTACACCCACTCTTTGTCATATACCCAGGTAAATATGGCGTGCACTGTGGTCATTTATGTGATCAAACGACATCAAGCATTTAATTGATTCAGATATATAGCCATTAAATTCGAATGTACACGCGAAATTATGTGCACACATGAATATATTTCTTGATGGTTCACCAATCTTTTAGTTTGCCTTTTCAAACACGTGAGCTTGTGTCATTTGCTTATGTAAAGTCGAGCTTTAACCTTTATATGTATGTATCACAATCTGTTGAGACAGATACGTTTTTCTAGGTTAACATTTCTTGCTACAATCATATTGCTCTCTTGGGCCATGTTGCTTTTATGGTAGTCTTCAGTTACACCGTTTTTCTAGCTTACGACTTGTACTGTAATAGAATGTTGTGTATTCCAGAGTCGGAACAAGACTTGAAGGAAATTGTGTCCCGAAAAAGGGTGCGGGTGAGGCCCCTAATTGAAGATTCTGATCAAGCCAGCGATGGCGACAGCAATGTTGCACCATCGAAGGTATGGTTCACCCTATATGTAATTGCTTGACCAAGCATAAAAGAAAATATTGCCCAGTATTTTATTGCTCATGTTTTATTTTTTAGGAACAAGACAAGCCCTCCGAGAGTAGGGAGCGGCTTTTAAAAATTCTACAAAAAAAGAAAAAAGCTGTGAAGGTCTCACCCTCACAGGAGGCTGAGCTGAATGAGCTCCAAAAAAAAGTTGCAGAAATGCAAAAAAAAATAGATGCTCAGAACGAGGAACTCGTAGAGCTTCGAGGGCTGAACAGAGATCTCCAAAGGAGCTCCTAGTCAAGATCAGAGAAGGCAAGTCTAATTGGTATATTATATATGAAGTGGTGGCACACACTCTTGGTAGAAGGAATATTCTGTAAACAAGAGTGTAAGAATGATTTAGCAAGTTAAGTTCACGAGGATGCTTTGTTGGGCTAGTTGGTATTGCATCATTAAACTCTACTGCGCATATACACGGGGACGAAGAATGAACTCACGAGGCATATAGTGCTGAACTACAACTGATGCTTAATTTCTGATGGAGCAAAATTATATGGACGTAAATAGCCTATGACAGCACTCTTTGGCCAAGCATCATCAAAAAAGTTTTACAAAACAACACACCATTTTACACACTGCCTATGGCTTATCAGCGTTCAAAAATTCTATGTCCATTCTTAGGTGTCGTGGAAGGGGTCCTCACACCATTTTCTTTCCTGCGATTATATGGGTATAGCGCACCACCACAAGGACACAGAGACACACACTTAGCACTAACTTGCAACTACTGTTTCATTTGCGATCACACATGCTATTTATACAATAACAGTAGACCGGTAAAACCTGGAAAAGATCATGTTAAGATACAGCAGATCTTTTTATGTCCTTGTGGTGGTGCGCTATACCCATATAAATGATGAACCCCAACCAACTAGCCCGGCAATGCGCCTTAGCATCTTTCCTGCAATCAATTTCATACACTTCTGACAAGTGTCCTGAAAGCTTTGCTTCCACAACGCTCTTAAGAAATGAGGTAGAATTTCAGAACATTGATAAGCCATAGGCAGTGTGCAAGGTAAGTGTAGTTTGCTTACTTTATTCTTTGCTAGTGCTTGGACTAAGACTGCTGTTATTGGCATGTTTGGTACATATAGGTCGTTCCATCAAAAATGAATAATCAGATGTAGTTTAGCGCTATGTCTTGTGTCCTTCCTTCGTCCCCATCTATATGTAGCAAATGTACCTTCTAAGCGAATAACCATGTTCCAATGTTAGTTGGTTCACTTCAGTTTCTGATGTGCAATTTTCATGTAGGCTCCAGTAGATACAAAAGTGCAGAGCCTACTGCTCAGTCCCACAGCCCTGGCACCCCTCTGCCACACAGCATGGACATCACTCTTCCAGCAGTTAGCAGCACACCATCCCCCCCTTCATCACCCACCAGAGAGTGCCCACATTCTCCCTTGAAGGCGCAAGCTGGTGCATCAGGCGGTAGCTTGGTGAGATGTTTGAGACTCAGTTTTATTTTAGAAAAAGCTGTGCTTAGTGCCTACATAATGACAGCAATCATATAGTAACTACACTTGAAATCCTCAGCTCATAAGCCTGGCCTAGTTCTTTGACAGGTGTATGTTTTTCTTTGCAAGTGATCCGTTCACTTCCTCATGTTCCAGTTACAGCCCACAAACCATGGTGTATCATTGCCCTAGTGCACTGTAAACCACTAAGGCTTCAATGACTCAGCTGCAGTGTTTCTTCGTGAAATTTGAAGGAAAGCATGCATTAGTTTTATGTGATAAGCAAGAAGCTGTTGTTCAATTACATGCGTTTATTTGTGAACTTCACACAGAATAGTTCTGCTCAATTGAAAACCTTTATATATGGTACATTAAATTTAAGCATTGTGAATGGCACTCATGTGTTACTGCTGCTTTTATTTTCTGCAGGTTGACATTGGACAAGGGCTGCGAATTCCGCTGGAAACATGGCGTCGTGTGCAGGCTCGGGACAAAGATTCTTTGTTCATTAAGGATCTGCTGGTGACAATCTGGGATCCAGCTCAGCTACAAGGACGATCATTGCAAGGTAATTTCCAGTACTTTGAACTGCCAGTAATGCAGTGTTTAAAATTGCTTAATGTATAATGTTCTGCAGGCAAGCATTGTCCTCGTTTCCCAAATCGGCCGAGAAAGGATCCATTGACACCATGGAAGGTGTCTGTCATGCGAAGTGAGTATCAACATATATCCCATTTCGTCAGTGTGTGAGCTCATAAATGGTGTTCTAATGAAGCACCAATAACTAAGTTACCTCACTTTGCACAGTTTACAGTGCTGAAGTTCAACCAAGACCCAGTACTATGCACATATATTACAGCGAAAGCTGTTGTGAGATCACAACTCAGGTCTTGCGCGAACATAGCGAAAAAAACTAATGACACAGTGGGGCTCGAACTCTGGTCCACTGGGTGCCAGCCCAGTATTCTGCCACTGAGCCACGCCGGAGCTTGGGACTTGTTGGCAAACTTGCCTTAGGCAGGCTTGATGTCGAGAAAGCAATTGCGTTAATACGACTTATAAAGCGTTTTAAAACAGCGAAAGAACAAGCAGTTGTCGCACAATGTGAACAGCGTAGTAAGTGGGTCATCCAATGCTCCAACCCATTACAAAATCTTGTTTTTGTTGAGCTATTAACTGTGGCGCATACCCATTTTAGGCATAATTCCTCATCGTTGTCAGTCACTGCATAAATTGGCACAAAATTCCTTGCAAGTGTTTAGCGGATACCACGCTTCTCAGAAGAATGACGAAAAACAGCATAGCAAATGCTGGCCTACTACCCAAATAAATTTATTAATAATGACCTAGTGGGTATCAAGCAAGTGTGCTTGTACTAGTTACCAATGAGTGTTTCGAAAAGGCTCTGAAAGGTCGCTCTTCTAGCTTTCGCTGTGACTGTGCTGTGCCTTCCGCACAGATCTGGTGTTTTTATAGATACCTCTCCCTGTTTGCAAATAATGTGACGTCACTATGAGCACTGTGCCCACCATTCCTTCCTACGGCGCTGGGGCTGGTTGACAAGAAAGTTCCGCTAGCGGGATCTTTCTACATACTAGCAGGGCTGCATGTGTCTGCATTCGTCAGGCTGAAATTTTGGTGAATTGTTGTAGGCTGCCATAGATGGCAGCCATTAAAAAAACATTTTTCCTCTTCAAAAGCAAACGTATTCACGGTGACGGATGCTTTGAGAAATATTGTAATGGTATAGACCTAAATGTACCCAATTTTCGTTGCGACATGTGCATCGCAGTTTTAAACGAGGCACAGCATTGGCTGCAGCAAGGTTTTGAGCTGCTGTGCGAGAGGTTATGAAGAAAATTCTCACTCGTGCCGCAAAATTCTGACCGAAGATGAATGGGAAAAGAAACAAGAACAAACAAGAAAACACTTTGTCGTGTGTTCGGCTGAGGTTAACAAATCCTTGTGAAAATTAAAGCAAAGTTGTCAGCTACATTCCTCATACCCCTCTGAAAATTTATGCATTTTTAAACTCTTTAACTTAATTACATACGTTATCTTTTGCACAGTCACATCACTGCATCTGATGCATACAAGGTATTCGCATACTTACATTGTTCCCTTAAGACCTAACACACAAACTTCTAGTGTGCATCTTCACTTCATGAATATCGAGCAGTAAAGGTACTAAGTATATGTGAAACAAGAATCTCTGCCTTTTACATGAAGTCATATGAGGCCTCTGATAAAACGAGTTATACCTTTATTGGGTTTGTGTACTCGCTGGGGCGAAGCGTATATTTAGCTTTACCAGTGGTATCTTTCAGCCCGGTGATCATGCAATTTTTTTCCTGCACAGAGCGCAAATGCTGAGATGTACAGACTCGCAGATGACCGTGTCAAATGCATATTTACCTTCACTAAAATCTTGAATCAAGTTCTGTAGACAACCGGTCGCTGCCACCAGCCCAAAACAAGCGCCTATGTTTTTGCAAACAAGCCACATCGTTATTCACCCTGCACGTACCACACACAATCTTCTCAGGTTCACCTTTGCAGATGTCAAGATGAACCGATATTGTTGATGCCTTTTAACGTACACTACACTCCACAATAGAGTGCACATTTTCCAAGACGATGCCGCTTTTCCTCGCACAGGCCACCACGTGTGTTCACTTCTTCAAGATAAACAGCCAGCGTGGCAAATATTTCATCACGCAGTTTACCACACAGCTAGATGTTCACTGACATGTACTACAGCTGATGTCGCCATTGTAACATGAAGTTAGGCTTTGAAAAAAGAAAGTAAAGAAAAAAACTTTCCCCAAACATCGCACGACCGTACTGCACTGAGGCACCAGAGGTAATGCTTCGCCAACCACACCTTCCACGTGCGCTAGCGACGTCGCACTGTGATGTACCCTGGTAGAGGTCTATTCTTCTGGGACATTTCTTAATAGTATCACTCATGATGTATGCAGTTTATGAGGCGAAAATACATAATGGTGAATTTCATAGATGGTTAACTGATATTACATTTAAAATCTGTTTTAAAAAAATTTCTCACGATAACTTCATGAATAGATTCATTAGTTCTATATTCTGCATTGTTTTTGTGTCATTTATATCCAAAATGCTTTGCTACCGAAGTAATAATGAGTGCTTTTGATATCTTTTCTGCTATGAGATGCCATTTTGACACCACTGAAGATGCTACCTAAAATTTTCATGTGCAGCTGCCTAAAAACAAAGCGTATTTTTTATTCTATAATGGATTCATTTAGCTTTATGTTAATAATTATACCTGTGTATCTTATATATGTTTAAATGCCTTTTTTTAACAGCCTGCTACAAGCGTCGCTTGGAAAAGCAAGGTTTCCCAGACAGTGCGGTCCAAACGCTCATGAAGCGAATGAACCATTATGTTGGAGAGAAAATCGCAGACATCGACAAGATGGCAAAGAGGTACACCAACCGCAATTTTGTTTTGCAATTTTTTTAACTTCAGTAGTAAACAAATTTTGGCTTGATAAGTTGGGGCTCTACTTCAATGTGTATTGAACCTAAAGTGCATTTAATTCCACTTTTCATTGTGAGCCACTTTTTTTTTAACTGTAATGAAACTAGCCTTCATGCAAATGCTGTTTGTTTATTGTTTCTGCAGGGTGCAGCGTGACTAACCAATGTGGCTGTAGCAAAGTGCTGGACCTGCATGGCAAGATACCGCATATTATGTTTGTAAATAAAAGATGTTCTGTTTTACAATAATTGCATTTTTGTCAAAGGTGTCTACATGCATTCATTAATCAATACGTCCTGTACCATTTGAGCCAATTGGCATATAAACAATTGGTCCAATTGGTTAGATGCCAATTGGTCATGCCATACTATACCATTTGAGCCAATTGGCATAAAACCAATTGATTCCATTTGTGAATTATACACAATTGGTCCAATTGGTGTTGGGCCAATTGGTGCACAACCAATTGGACCAATTGGTTCTATACCAATTGGTGTAAAACCAATTGGTGTAAAACCAATTGGTCCAATTGGCTCAATTGTGTACTAATTCACAATTGGAACCAATTGGACCAGGTGGAAATTTTCCAATTGGTTTCAATTGCTTTTTTTAACTGGGTCGTGAGGAATATCTGGCGAGGATCCCAAATGGCTGATGCGTATTCTAACGTACATCCTGATGTCCCCAACGCCAATGAGTTTGCCCATGACCGTGCGCGAGGTATCGCTCACCGCGGCGGTCCCGGCGGATTCGCAGGCGGAAACGCCGGAAGATACAGGGACTCGCTACTCACTTTCCACGAGATCATGACTCATTATCATCTATCTCGGAGGACTTTTCCACTTCCTCATCCTAAACTTACGTGACCGCAATCATCGGCCTACAGGATGCTCCAAACGGGGTCTTTCCCTTCGCGTGGCAGGTTCAGCCATTTTTCGCCCAACATCGAGCCGCATTGTCCGGACTGCGGTGAGGCGTATTGCTCATTACCTCATATGCTCTGGCAATGTCCTGCGTTATGTGACGCAGAGTTCAACAAAGAAGAGGACTGGGAGGAAGCCCTTAACAGCGGCGACCTCTTGGTTCAACTTCGGGCTGTCCAGAGGGCCTGCGAGAGGGCGGAGGGCCACGGTCTTCCGGTCCCTACGTGGGAGCGGCCCGTGACTGCTACGGATTCCCCCTAAATGGGGCCGTTACAACGCAGTTCCTCAGGACCTGAATAAAGTTCTTTGTCTGTCTGTCTGTCTGTCTGTCTGTCTGTCTGTCTGTCTGTCTGTCTGTCTGTATTAGTGTTTTGTAAGCTAGTAACTTGACATGCTGTGGAGCGCTTTGTAAATGACGTCGTAAAAACCCAAATGTTTTGTTGGATATACACGAGCAAAGAACTGTTAATTAGTCCGTATATCAGGAAATATGGCTAAGAGAGAGAGAGAGAAAAAAAAAGGCCTTAAGGCAAGCAGCACGCGTAAGGCACTGCCGGGTGAGTGCGAATACGATGATGCAGAGGCTGAATGATTTTCATTCCGACACGTACCGGTGATTTCTGTGCCGTTGCACAAAAACACTCCATGAAGTATTTCAGCACGTTGCGCTTGGGCCTGCCATGCACAAACAGTCTGGGAAAGGTGTGCTTGCAACATTTTACTGCATCCAAACCATACAATACGTGTTAAGTTAACGCCGGGACTATATAAGCGAAACAGCGCTGAGAGCACGCCAAGGAGCGTCTGCCGGTTTGTTTGCCCCATAAGTTTGACATCACTTCCGCCACACTTCTCGCAATGCATTGGGATAGGATAGGGCCTCTCCTTATTTTGTCTTGCTCCATGGACGCACAAGCCACCCACACACAGAAACGGCTGCTGCGCCGCACGGAAGTGACGTCATGCGTTATTCAGTTAAGCGCTTTGTTTGAATAGTCGGGAGTGTCTAGCGGTACGTCTAGACATAACGATAAAAGCCGTTAAAATTACGTCCAAATGAAGAAGTGAGCCAAAATGTTAGTTAGGTTTAGCGTGAAAACAATACAAAATCGGCTTGTTTGTCATCTCAAACTGAGCGGCAGCTGTGGCATAGTTGGCTAAAGCAACACATCAACTGGTGAGGTCGGTGGTTCAAGTCCCATTGCAGTTATCGATACTTTCTCTTTTTTCTGTTTACACATGTATTGCTTTAACATTTGCACCTCCTCATCAGCCCAACTTGCTGCTGGTGGTGGTCCCGTCCACAGGCCCTTTAATATTGGATCTTCGATGACACTTGCAGGATTAACTATATTTATTATGATAAAGTGTTTTGCGAATTATTGCTCTTAATCTGCGAGACGAAAAACGACACAAAAAACTCAAATGCAGCTGGCTGCATTGGTTTCTCCGGCACACGTGTCAGGAATGTTGATTTCCCCGGTTTATCAAAGTTTAGCTGACCGAAAGGCGCACTGCAACATAGTCTCGGGAAACTTTTTTTATGTCGCTCAGTGTACCATCACCTGGCGAGGTAACCGGCATGCCGCTTCAAAATACGTGCCACCGCAATGGTCTAGGCAATCAGCACTTGATGAACGATGCCCAAGGGGAAGTGCCGACGGCGTTAGCCCATCTAACTACAAAACAGCTTGTCTGCCTAGCTGAATAACACGCACGGCCTGTGACAGCACGGGATCATTTACGTAGCAACGGATGAGAACGGCCGTACGTGTTGGCACTTAACAAAAAGCCGGCAATGCAGTAGCTTTGGCCTTTGGAGATCACAGGCTTCGTAAGAACACTACAATAAAGTTGTTTCCATCCTTCGTAAGAACACTTCGCAGACGCACTGTGGTTTCATGCATGTGCGTCCGGTCAGTCACACGTGAACTGTGCAAAAGCATTTATTTCATTGTCGACCTTGCCCTTTGTGACAAGGAAAACCCGGCAGCAAGGACACTTTCACCTTTGACAACAACACGCTTGGCATTGCAATCTAGAAAATGCAGTACGTCCAACAACAATAGTCCGCACTTCATACTGAGAAACTTCATGGCGCACACTCAGATGAAGATGCGGCGCGGTGGACGGCCGCGCTAGCTCCAACCTCCAGGTTCAATTAGGCATCCAGCAATCACATGAAGCAGCGACGACACAGGGTCTCCGGTCCTCCTTGGCGGCGGCCTAGGCCATGGCCACGATTTTGTCTGAGTTTTCAAATGGTGCCTTTGTCAGATAGGAAGGAGCCGCAGCGCGAAAGCGTTTTGTCCCAGAATCACACTTAACTCATCAACCCATCATCATTATATGTCTGTCTCGGCCCTGCCTCCCCCCCCCCCCCCGTGTGGGAGGTTTCGGACAGACGGCCATGGCAAGGAGGCCACCGTTCGGCGCCAGGCGCCAAACAGACGCGGCCTGCCTCCCGGCGTAATATACAAGCCAGGGAGGCCCGACAAAGGGACTACCCTTCGGCAAAGCAACTTCGGTCGCGACACACAAAGTAAACGTACCCTGGCAAGGTGGGCTACCGCAGTGCGTGGGGTGCGCTGCGGTCATGGCCCGTCTCCTGACCGCTAGGGCCCAGCGAGACTCCACACAGGGGCTACCCTTCGGCACGGTGGCTCTCGACACCGCACGCAAAGCGGACGTACCCAAACACGCGGCAGCGGGGCAGCCCTTGGCCGCGGTAGCTTCAGTCACAACCAAAGTGCCCGTGCCCTCACACTGTCGCGCGGCTGAGAGCCTGCCCCTCAGGACGGATGGGCCATCGCTCGGCGCTTTGCGGTCACGGCCCGTCTCCTCACCACTAGGGCGCAGTGAGACACAATCCGTCCTGTGGGGTCTACGGGACTACAATTTGGTGCAGAGACCAATGCCGCTGCACGCAAACCAAACGTACTCAGGGAAACCGGCACAGCTGAAAGCCGGCTTAGTCCTTGTCGAGGAAGGGAGCCACCCTCCGCCTCGACGAGTAGAGTCGCCGAGCCTGCAGAAGGGGCCAACACGAACCTTGCGGGTAAAGCCCGGCAAGGCAACAGGATCACCTTGGCACATGCAAAGCTCAGGTGAACAACCATACAAACACACATCGCAGGCAGCCGCAGCGCCCATGCCCCCCCCCCCCCTCCATGTATTTAAAATACTTGTTATATGTGTTTAATTAACAAATATAGGTTGATTGACTTGCCAAACGCATGCTTATGTAAAATATTTGTAGGTTTAACGCATTATACCTTAATAATATAAACATTTAAGTAGCTTCCGATAATAATTTTTAAACTGCCGTAACTTTCGTGCGGCACAGGAGCCACTTCTGTCTGCGTGGCGCAGGAGACGCTGCTTATAAATTTATAACTGTTAGATAAAAAACAAAATACAACAACCAGATTGAAAGACGCAAGGACAAGTGTATTGATGCAGAATGTGAGTGAACAGTGAACAACAAAAAAGAATGGCAGGTATACCTCAATGAAGTACACACTAAATAATAAATCATTAATAAAATGAGCAATTGCAGACAATAAGTTGAGGTTCATGTACGCATGAGAAATTAGTACTGCACATATTAAGAAGCTGCGACAAACGAAATAGGTGTACCTACATTAACTTAATAAAAAGGGAAGAGCAATGAGTAAAATTAGAGCAATAGCTGGATGCAAACTTTGATTTCTTAGTGCCCCTGTTTGCAAGGAGACTCTGCAAAAATAAAATCAAAATCCCAACAGGACCCCCCCCCCTCCCCGCCCCCTACCAGTGACGCAGGCTGTCCCACTACCCTTCCACGTACGACTTAAGCTTCACATACTGGTCTTCAAAAAACTTTGTCGCTGCTCTTCTGTGCGAGAAGCATCGGCAACGGATAAACCATTGAGGGGGTAAACGGGCCAAATTAGAGGGGAGTCGACTTGGTTTCAGCCTCTCTTTTGCCAAGCAAAGAAAACACATTGAACAGTCATTAGCAGCATTGATTTATGTTAATGATATAGTATTAATAGCCAACAACAAGGAAGATATCTGCAGGGATTTATAGACATCTGTGGTAATCAGGGAGATAGGTTAAGTGTTAAATGTAATATTCAGCAGGGAAAAATCAGCAATCATGATTATTAGTGATAACAAAGGCAGTGAACATAAGATACAAGAAGTCATGCAATAAATAGTGGATAAATACAAATATTTGGGCGTATGGATAAATAACGAGGCTGAGTACCTAAGGGAGCACAAAAGATACGTAATGACTAAAGGTAATGGGAATGCAGTTGTAATTAAAAATAGGCCACTGT